ATTGGTTTCACCTTTTGAGTTGCCATACTGACATAAATGAACATTTGCACGATATTCTAATTTTTCGAGTTTCACCTGTAATGTATTTATAAATGGCTTGTTCAAGGCTCCCTTTCACACAATGACTATATGTCAAAAGGCTACAAATAAGCCATTTTCTTTCCTTCTAAGTCCTCCTACTTAAACCCCGCACAAGACTTTTGTCAGTGTAGTAGAAAACTTGCAATCAGCCAAAGACCTTAACATTAAGTTAAGAGGACCTCTTTTTCCCCCTTGGCAGTTTTTCAGGTACAAACGTGATGAATGGAGTGGGAAAAATATACATACCTGGGTTGGACTCTTCAGGAGTGGGACTGCAATCTGCATAAAAATGGAGGTGTGACATGCATGATTAAGGGGAAGCAACACATTTTAAAGATAAGCAACTGAAATGCTTAGCACAGGCAGTCTCAAACACTGGCAGGGGGGGTTCAGTTTAGATAGGGGTGGGCAATCTATGGCTGTAGAGATGCACATGCCCTGAGCCTTTTTTCAAAAGCCTTCTGTGAGAAATCCGCTTTGGCCCCTGGTAAGAGCAATCTATCCCATCCTGCTCTGTGGGGAAAGGCAAAGGAGAAAAAGAAAAGAGAGTATTAGCACAGAGAGAAAAAATGGGTTGCCAGAAAAACAGCAAATAGGTGAGTCAACTCATGTTGCTTCTCGTCCTGTCCACTGTTTGATGAAGCCCATTCATCACTGACATGCAGCCTCCTATAGATTGCTTGCAATGAAAGAAAACAATTGGTTGCTTATTCCTGCTGTAGCCTCTTTCAAGGTCCCTTTTCTGCTTAAAACACACTGCACCCACTAGTAGGCGGAACAAAATCCCTGTGCTATGAATTCACTGAAGCACTTAGAAACTAGAAAAAATATAGGTGTATTATATTCAGCCTCCTCTACTAGAGAAGCCACAGCCTACAGAGTTTGAGCCACCAATGGCTTCTAATGGATAGCAATTTAAGCAACTGAATAGAATAGCAGAATACCAACTATTTTAGGTGTACCAAATAACCCACATTTATTCTTAAGGTATGCGCCTGAAATATTTTACATGTACTGTGAAAACATAAAGAATAAATACAGTATGTTTGCGAGAAAAGCTCATCAGGAAGCAGAGATTGAATGCAAACTTTCTCAGAAGCATTAATTCAGTGACAAATTCAGATTTATTTCACAGAATTTATGGAATAGGCCTCATTCAGGCTGTATTTTTATAAGCCTCTAAGCAGTACCCAGAAGGGCATGGTGAACACCTATTGCCATTTTTTCCAGCTTTCCTGGATGTTTTACACTCTTCTTCAATGTTAAAAAAATCGTTTGTGACTTTCAGCAAGAAACAAATTGATGAAAATTGTTGATTAACAGCATTTAATTTATTTTTATTTTCTGTTCTTTAATGTTTTTAATAATATTTAATTTCACTCTACCAAGTTTATTGATGGATTAGAAGCGTACATCAGCCTCACAACCTATGCAGCAATCTAAAGAGCTTGCAGGGAAGATGGTGAAAGGGGAAAACTCTTCATTTGCTGCAGACAAACTGGAATCTGTGCTTCAAGTGCACCTGTGAAAAACACTATTATTCTGTTTCCTCCCCTTGGCTTTTATAATTTCTAACTTCTTTATAAGGTTGGTATGGGGTCAAATCACAGGGCAACCAGATAATTCCAACACAGGCAACTATAACTAAGTATGAAAGTTTGAGTGATTTGTAGATAACATTTTGAGTTTGTAGTTTTCTGAAACTTTCATCTCAAAATGTGTTGGGTTTGTGTTTTTTTTAGTGCAATTAATATGACCCAAACTGTCAGAAATAACAGAAGGACTTCAGTCCAGAAGAATTTGCATGTCTATCATATACTTCCCTGTCTCCTCTTCCGTACACTTGAACTATTGATTCCATTAGGCGCATAGGTAAAAAAATTAGTTTACAGCAAGAAAACAAAAACCATTTAAAGCTAATGCTTAAGTGATAATAATCACCAGAATCAATCCACTGCAGGCCTTTTCACAGAAGGTTAGGGACCATAATCTACCATGCTGATCCAGTGCAAGTTGGTAAACAGATTTTTTTTTT